CTTATTTACAGTATTTGTTACATGAATTTCCCTTAGGGCATAAATAAAATATCTATCTATCTATCTATCTATCTATCTATCTATCTATCTATCTAAAGTTTGATTCTATAAAGGTTTTCAGAATTTGGATTTTTCCACACCTAGTTGGAAGTTTTGTTTTGTTTTGTTTTGTTTTCATTAAAAGAGACGAAATGATGTTGAAAGGCATCATTCATCATTCAGGACCCATTATTGTCTCCATTATTGTCTGGTGCCACCCTTGTATTCATTTTGGTGAAGTTATTTCTTTCACATAGTATTTTTGTAAATCACTTTATGTGTGGATTTGTTTACTTTGTCTTAACATGCAGCAAACTTTTTTCCACTTTTGTACTTTTCTGAATGTGACCATTTTTTGAGGAAAGTGTAGACAACCATGTCCCACACAGAGTCCGCATGATGTTTCTTTTCACTTGCCGATTTGTTTACTTTGTCTTAACATGCAGCAAACTTTTTTCCACTTTTGTACTTTTCTGAATGTGACCATTTTTTGAGGAAAGTGTAGACAACCATGTCCCACACAGAGTCCGCATGATGTTTCTTTTCACTTGCCATTAAGGAGCTTAAGGAAGTTGCCTGCATGTATATTAACTTTGTCCACCACGATCCCAACTCACTGCAAACAGGAGCTTTGACCTGCTAGAAGTTGTTGGTGCAGTGACAAAAACAAGGTCCAGTCATGTTTAGGCCTGAGTTAAGTTTGAAGCTCTGTGAATGGAGATTGACCCTGGATGGGTGTTAGTCAAGTTGCTTTGCTACTGCATCATCCTGTTCCCCTGCATTATCAAATCCTATAGCTGACTCAGGGTGTCTTTCTACAGTAAATGAGTCATTCTTTTAAATAAGAAACCATTATCTCATCAAAGTGGCTTTTTGGCAATCTGTGATACATTTGCTCCTCTGTTTGACTCATGGAAGATCTTTTCAAATGATATCCATCCACTGCTGCCAAACACAGCTTTCTTTCCTAAAATTTAAACAGATTTTTCCCTTTCTCTTTTAGTGTTGTGACTATACATCTTAGAATTAAACATCACATTTTTTTTTTACTACTGTTACTAATCAGCTGGGATGAAATACACATACTTCAGCTACTAAATGTCACTAACATAAATCGCTAACAAATAATATATATATATAAATTTGAGTCATTGGTCATATGAGATATGTGTCAGATGTATTTGAGCATTAGCAATGATATAACAAATCAATATCCTAATCAAACCCGCGGTCTCTGGATTCTTAGGGTCAAATAAAAATGTTTAGAGCCAAGGATTCAAATCTTGCAGAGGAGGGTCGAATCAATTTAACAAATTACGATGTGAATATAAAATAATCATTATTGTGGTTTTTGGTTCACTTGAAATCTTATTTTGTCGCAAAGTGCAGGTTTCTGTTCCATTAAAAATTTTCATAGCATTCTTGTAAATCACTTTATTTTGTGTGGATTTAAATTGAGGACACAGGTGTAAGTAGAAACTCCAAAATGCAAGTTTTCATTAAAAGAGACAAAATGATGTTGAAAGGCATCATTCATCATTCAGGACCCATTATTGTCTCCATTATCGTCTGGTGCCACCTTTGTATTCATTTTGGTGAAGTTATTTCTTTTTTAAGATAAACAAGTTACAGCTTATGTTTGTGTTTTGTTTTGTGTTGCAGGGATTAGTCAGGCCTAGTTTTGTGTTATTGATTTTATTTGTTAGGCACGACCACCTCGTCCTTTCCTCTCCCACATTTTGAAACCTTTGTTATGTTTGTAAGTATTCAGATGAGCTGAAAATAAATCACCCTCAATTTCACCTCTACTCTGACACCTTCAAATTCTTCTGGTTGTTCTGTTATTGTCTCAGTTTTCCCTTATTTTCACCAAGGGAATGTATTCCTGTAGCCTTTAGCCTCGTGGCAGCTGGTGTGTGGTATTTAGCTAGCACAGTACACGGCTTGCTAACAGCAGGTTGGGTTGCATGTTGCTATGATCATGAGTGAAGCCTTGCCAGACCAAATTCTCATAGCATTTTTGTAAATCACTTTATGTGTGGATTCAAATTGAGGACACACGTGTAAGTAGAAAACTCCAAAATGCAAGTTGTGAGATGTTTTGTGGCCACAAGATCTTTGATGCCTCCAGTAAAATTTATGCCATGATGTTTCACCATCAGCTCTTCAAGCCTTGCCAGACAAAATGTAAGTACATGCTAAAATAGTCCTGCAAAGAGCTTACCTACACAGCTGAAGACAACAGTTAGTTTTGAACATGAACAAACTGTCTTCCTGGTCTTCTGAGTCAAAGTGTATGGACTATTAATTAAGTGATGATCATAACATTTAGCTTTAATGTTTTTTGTGATTGCTTACACGCTTATTTCAGAATGTGACAAAAATCAACACACAAGCCAAATAAGACAAAACACTTGGAGCGCAGTGTCGATGAACTGAAAGGTACAGTCTAGAAAGTTAAGGACCTGTTCTCCAGTCTCAATGTCCATATTATGGATGCTACTGTGTAGTGACTGAGGTTGGACTCTCTGCTCAGCCTCCCTCAGAGTCAGGCCATGATTTATGACATGGTGCACAAAAGTGGCTCTATTGTCATCTGAAATATGTGTCCGTCTATTGCCTGGTCTTCTTTGGCCTGGCCTTCGTCCTCCACCTCCTCTCTGTCTTCCTCTTACTCTAATTTTAACTGCTTCCATGTTTGCAAAGTTCTCACAGAAGCTCACCTGAGGTCTGTCTGTAGCACTAAGGCTCAGACTGAGTGGTGTTCATTTTCTGCATAAGTGTTTTTAGGTGTGTATGTTGGTCAGGTGTGTCTTGCAGTTTGAAAAATAATTGTTTGCCCAATGATTGTAAGATTTAAGTCTTGGTGTCTAATGTAAGAAAAAGTGTGTAGTGTTTTTGCAAGTGTGTGTGATAGAACTGAAAACAAAGTGTAAAGTAGAAAATGTGTTTGTACTTTTAGTTTAAAAGTTAAGGTTTTGGTGTAAGCATTCTGTGTGTCAGCAATCGCAAAAAAAACTGTAATAAAGAAAAAAAATGTGGCTGTTGTGATCACAAGCTACTCCCTCCACCTCTACAGATGATAGCCAATCACAGTTTGAAAAGCTGTACAGCTGCCCCTCCTGATGCAGTCTGGAGCAACATCACAGATTCTCTCAATGAATAACCAGATGTTGTTATGAGATATTGAGCAACATCTGGCACGTGTAGTGAGGCAAGATAATTCAAAGGTCCAACCAGCTTCAGGTACAAGCGAAGACAGGACATTTCCAAGGCCGTCCATCAACATTTCACTTCTCGTATTAAATAACATCCTATTTATTTACTTTGTAGTACTTGCACAACTCATGAAGCAACATTGTTTTGACAGGTGCTATATAATAACATGTTATTGTTATTAAAGGCTTTTCTATTAATAGGATTAAATGGCCTGGAGCTGACACACTCTTCAACGAGTATGCTTAAATGTGGATATGTAGGTCTGCTACCCTATTTGCACCCCCGTCGTGATATGTTTAAAAGCCAATGGATCATCAATTTTTAACCAGGGATGATCATGTCAGTCAGTCACTCAGCTTGCCAGTTTAGCACTTAAATTCAAAGTGAAATATCTTGACAAGTGCATGTCATGAAATCTACTTTTGATATATGTTTACATTGCATTAGCATTTTCCCTTTACTGTTACTCCTAACAAAGCCTTTAAGTCTTTCTGTCATGATTTCTGGAGGTAGCTTACTTGATGTCTTCAGGGCTTATGCTCATGTGGCTGTCAGCTGCCACGAGTTGTCTCTCATTTAAACTGAAATGAAGCATTCCTGCTGACATTCACTCAGAGTGCACACAGTAGCAGTGGTGCTGTGGCCACTGTATTCACAGTTCTCCACTTTCTTATCATAGATTTCAGAAATGTTCCTAGTTCAATACCTTTAAAAAAATATTAACTCAGTGTACATAAGAATCAAAACTTCAGCACCTGGAACAATGCCATTTCTTACATTTGCCACTAGGGTTCAGTATGAGACTGATGTGTGTATTGTTGTTATAATAGTCAATTCTATTTACTCTTATCCTAAGTCATCACTGATTGACACTAATCACACAGAGAGCAAGCTATGAACTGTTCCCCTAACCCCTTTTTTTTTTCTATTTGTGTAACTCACAGTGCTTGCACCAAAAGCCAATGCATTTGTAAAGAGCTTGCGGAAGCTGCCCATCCTCCATGATGAGACATATGCCCAGCAGACCTGCATGTATGACTATTATGGATCCGAGAACACCCTGGTCCTGCCGTAAGTACACTCAGAATCCCTCCCTGCGCAGTCAATATGTGAAAGAACTATTGTTAGTTACGTTCTGCTCATATGCTCTTGTATGGTAGCGTGGAGTGTAAGGTATCAATGTATCAAATTGAGACTGATGTTCTTTTCCTAGACAGCTAATCCTGTGTTTGAGAGCAGCTTAACAGGTCTTAATCACATTGATATAGGTATGCACAGACCATTGCAAAGAAAATGAAATCATAGATATGCTTTTTGCAAGGCAGGTTGGTGGCGTAGGCTAAATCATAACTGCAGCTTATCTTCATGAATATTAGTTTAAACCCCAGAGTATAGTCGGTGTAATGGTCATCATACAGTAGGAGATCCATTTCATATTTGAAAAAGCAGAGTTTGAGCAGAAATGACTTACTGTCCTCCTAAGAATAGCAATGGTTATAATGACTCTAAACTGCTTTTGTTGCTTTAACAGGGCGCCAACAACCCATCATGAGCCGCAGTTTCACGGGTGCTGTAGTACTGATAGCCTTGCGTGTGCCCTACACTGTGCCTGAGAGTGACTTGACGCCTCCACCTCATGTAGACCAAATGTTAGGGTGTGCTTGCCTGATGCGTAATGCATGCCGACGTGGCCTTTGGCAATGGGAGAAAATACCGGGAAGGATACTGGAAGGAGCGCAGAGCTGTGTAGTGCTGGAAGTATTTTTGTGTCTCTGACTCTGCACTTGCTGCTTGTCGACTCTGTCAGCAACCAGCCAGCGGTGTCAATGTCCAGCAGGGGGTTTGCTCAGATGGGATAATCTGATGTTTTTTGGAGGTTTAGTTAGTGAGTAGCTGCTGTTGGCCTGCTGGTAAAAGCAAGGTTAATTGACTCTGTTGCATGTTCGGTTTTGCGTCGTCTTATTGTCCGGCGCGTGTGCTGCGGAGCAGTGAAGGTGGAGCCCCTTGTGCTTGGGCCCCCAGCTGATTAACAGTCTCTGTAGGGTCGTCATTAGTGATAGCAGGTTCGCCTCTGCCATACATTCACTCACAAATTTCCATACCCCATCTTAACTGCTGCTGTGACAGGCGGCTGAGCAGCAGGGTGGAGCGGGATGTATGGTAAAGATAAGGAATCCGTACAGCAGATGTTAGTCGACTGGTTTTTAATTTCCTAGAAGTTGAGGTTGTGTGAGGAGTTTGTGATCTGTTTGTTAGGCTTATAAAAAAATGATTTCAGAGCACTGTTCAGTTTGACTGCCCTCAACTTCACAACATGTCCACACCGTCAAGAACTATGCAAGCTCACTGTTATTTTATTAACTGCTTGTTAAATCTCTTAAATATTAACAATTAGTTTATTATCATTAATGTTAATCCTTTGCTAACATAATATTAATATTATATTAATATGACTGTGTGAGCATGTTTTTTATGCAATTTTATGTTAATTATTTTAGATGTTCAGCATGAATTAATATTAGCTCATCCTTGAGTTTATACAGTGTTAATATCAACTGAAAGTCTAATGGGCATACTGTGGATCGTATGCAGTTTACTTGCCTATGTTGAACACTTATTCCCGAGGAGGGAATTAGTTTATTGATTTATTGAAAAGCCTTATTCATGTGATGTTAAGAGGCAACGCCACAAGGCCGTTTGCACCCTACCTCCACACGTCTTCTTCAACATCGAGTCCCCCATCACACGCACACATACACACGTTCATTATTCTTAAGCTATGAGGATTCTTAGCACGGGTATGCAAATGTTTAGCTTTTGCTACACCTTAGGGTACACTGCCAGATAGATGAAATGGTGATTAGAATAGTGTTTTCTTGTGGCACTCTGGCTTCAAGATTATGAACAACATATGTTCCAGGGTCGTGTGTGGACTTAAGGCTAATTAGAAGAGTGTCTGTAGGACCCCTGGTTGGGTGGACTGGGGCTTGCCTGCTTTTCCCCCTGCTGTTCCATTCAGCTTATATCTCCATGTTATGAGGCTGCCCTATGGTAATGTGGGGGGTGTTCCACCCTGTTTCTTTAAAAGGGAGATTAAAAAGAAAATCTTTCCATGGCTGTTTAGCCAGTCACGCTGCCTTATACAGAGTGTCGCAGGTGGGGCTGTGGGACGGATGTAGAGGCGACATAAATGAGAGCAACCTCCCTTGTAACTGAAATGAAAGAGAAACTCAGGGTTTTGGCCTAACCTGAAATGACTCACCAAATAACCCTCAAGTTATATCAAATGGGCAGCCTTATGTCCCTCAGCTTTGCTTACTGGAAATTTACAGTACACAGATATAAGGCCCAGCAGAACATAAGTACTTTATTGTGGAAAAGAAAAATGCCTAATTTTAAAGCGCTGCTCTCGCTAACAATATGCTTACCATGCCCCTCCCTTGTACGCTTCCAAAAATGTCTCTCTGTGTCTGAAACAGGTTTTGGCACCATGCTGCTGAGACAGAAGGCCTGGCTAAATAGACTTTGCGTCGCCTCGTAAAGTCAGCTTGGTTTTTAGCATTCCCCTATCCTTCTTTAAACTCACTTCTCAAATGTAACCAGAACTTGATCCAACTTTGTTAAATGAGCTCAGTGAAATCACATAACCATTTGTCACGCTGCAGATAACAATCATTCGTTTAACCACGTGTCCTTAATGTGTTGTGGAGCAAACAACTGCACTTGCAAATAACTAAAACCACTGATATATTGTTTGCTGTTTGTTCTTTCTATGTTTAGTTTTTTATAAATATGATGATTGACTTTGTGTACACAATTACTGAAACTCATAGATGATTTCTATCTTCCAGGATGAATAAAGACAATAAGAGGATAGTCTACACTATCTTAGAGTACAGCCCTTTGCTGGACTCCTCCAATATGACCACGGATGACTGGGGTAGAATTGGAAAGGACATTGAGGTATTTGCCGCTGGATTCATTTCATTGATAGGTTTTCAAAATAAATTCCACATAATCTATGCTTTTGAAAGCTCATAAAATAAAGCATATTGAGAAAAAAAATAGTGATAGTATAAATGCTGTTGTAAATTGAAATTGCATTTTTTTTTTTTTTTTTCGTCTTTTCTGACTCCAGAAAAACTATGAAAACTATGATGGTTTTGTGATCCTTCATGGCACAGACACCATGGCTTACACAGCCTCTGCCCTGTCGTTCATGTGTGAACACTTGGGAAAACCAATCGTTCTCACTGGCGCACAGGTAAGAGCTGACAAAAAAAAAAAAATGCAGCATCGCATCAATTTAAGGTTTTACTGTCTTCTGAAGATGAGACTCTTTCTGTCTTTAGGTGCCCATCTATGAGATGAGGAATGATGGCAGAGGCAACCTGCTGGGGGCGCTGCTGATCGCTGGACAGTTTGTCATTCCTGAGGTGAAGAAATAGAGATGGCACCTAAATGCTCTTGCACATGGCATTCAGTTATTATACAGATGTACTTAATTCAGCTGCCTCAAAGAAGAAGATGTTAAGAGTGGATGTATTTGGGAATGTGAGAGTGAGACAGAATAAATGAGATTAATTCTAGTGGCTTTATTTTAAAATCCTTCTTTTAATACTATAATATTTTTGTGTGTGGGGTTGATGAATGAATTATGAAGTCATAAATGAAATAATATAGGGAAAGAAGTTATCTTTTGTTATTATAAAGCTATGTATTTGTAAACAGGTTGAGAAAATACAGCGTGCTATACAAAGACAGGTGTGAGCACTTGTGGCATTCAAAAGGTAACAAAAGCGCTTTTAAACGACTTGTCCGATGAGAATGCTTTCTAACGACAGTGAGATGTGTTTCGCAATACTGAACAACAATTACCAGAACAGGAAGAACACTGATCAGTGTTATCTACACTATGTCTGTGTATGCACCACTGAAGTGCAGAACAAATGGTGTGTATTGTATGTAATAGGATTTTACTGCATTAAAGAAGAACACTAAGGACAAACTGATATAGTTTTAATTGACAGTTCCTTAGATCCATGTACATAGGTTTCCATGTTAAAGCGATATTGAGCCGTGTCATGCGTTAAATGTATCTTTCTCTCGGGTTCAGGTGTGCCTGTATTTCTACAACAAACTCTACAGAGGGAATCGTGTGACCAAGGTGGATGCTGGGAGTTTCAATGCATTCTCCTCTCCTAACTTGGCCCCTCTGGCCACTGCTGAAGTAGATATTACAAGTAAGCCCGTGGTATAATGAGCTTGTCTTTATGTCAGAAATAAACCTGGAGTGTAACCAGTTTTTGATCAGTTTTCTCCATCTTTGTCCTCAGTCAACTGGGACACGGTTTGGAAGGCAAACACCACAGCAAAGTTTCAAGTCTGCACGGAGCTGAACCGGAACGTAGGCCTGCTCAGGCTGTTCCCAGGAATAACTGCTGCCACTGTAAGTCCTTGGAAATGCTGTTATGCGGGTGGTGCAGCCTCTGCACTGGAGCAGAGATATTTATTCTGTCTGTGTCATATTCACCAAATGTCCAGAGGTTACTTGTTGTCCTCGGTCTTTGGTTGACCCAGAAGAATAATTAATAGGTTAGTTGATAGTTAACTGAAATGTCAGACTTTTGGTGGCACACTAACAAATCCCTGCACAAATGACTTTTCTTGACTTACCTTGATATTTGCATGATTCTAAGGTTCGCTTCATCTTGCGTGTATAATATGAAGTCGTTCAATTTTTTTATGAGTGAATACACAATTGCAAATCAGCACCACATTACATAAAGTCAGACAGTGAAAGGCTTACATTAAAACCAGCATTGTGCAAATATTTTAGCCACAAATGTTGTGAAATGAACTAGTTTTAAGTAATTAAAGATATGTTCTTCAAAGATAACGGACTGCTCAAAACTGCAATAAAATATAGTTAACTTTAATTTAATTGCGCTATTACCGTCTTCCATTACTTTCCCAGTCATGTAAACTGCCATCATAGCTCAGAGAGGGATGAGAGGGAGTTATGGGCCATGACCAATCACCCTGTAAAGAGGGAGGACTGTCATAGATACTGTAACGTTTAGCTGCACCTCCCCCCTGCAGAGGCTGCTGGGAGAGTGACTTTACTGTCTCAATCTGCTCCCGCTGCCCAGCTCGGCTATCAAGACTTTCTTACAGCCTTTAACTGCATTTATGAGGCACACGTTTTGATTAGGCACCAGACTCTCGTGTGCCCCGCTGTCCCTGCTGTATGAGAGCTTCATTGGTAATCTGCGTCAAACATTTCTTGTCAAACTGCTTATCACATCAAAAAATACTGACTGAACCTGGCACTTTTAATGTCACCTTCCCCTCGCATTTTATGGTAACTGCCGTGGTCTTGCCAAGTGACTTTATGCTTGCTAACACCTTCAGATTAATTGCTCTCCTTCCTGCCATTTCAGTCATCTGCCATTCCAGTCATACGCCATGGCTAATGATGTGGTATAGGGCCTCTAAGCGCCAGCCAACCAGTGACTGAGATACTGGTTGCGTCGATGGCACCAGATGGGTTTTTAGGAGAGTGGATGGTTGCATGCATTGGAGTGAAAGGAAAAGGGCTGCAGGAAAAATAACATGGAATACTAATTTCTCAATTTGAATCTGCACAGTTGAGCAGCCAGTTCAGTTAGCCATAAATTGTGGGTGTTTATTATCTTAATCTGTGGTTGTATGTGCGTCCAGGTGAGAGCTTTCCTGCAGCCGCCCATGGAGGGCGTGGTGCTGGAGACATACGGCAGCGGAAATGCCCCCGATAACCGTCCTGACCTGCTAGAGGAGCTGAAGAAGGCAACTGACTCCGGCGTCATCATCATCAACTGCACCCAGTGTCTGAGGGGGGCTGTGTCTACATCTTACGCCACTGGCAAGGTAGTTCACGTCACCTTTTAGTCCAGCATAACCTCTGTATATTTGTGATTCATTTTCCAAATAAAAAGATAGAGTGACTGGCCCATTAAGAAGAGACTCAAATCATTTTAGACGGAGGGGAATTAATCAGATCACACACTCCCATGACTTCTCAGGTGTTGATGGATGCAGGGCTGATAGCCGGTGGTGACATGACTCCAGAGGCTGCCTTGTCAAAGCTGTCCTACGTGTTGGCCAAGAAGGAGCTTGATCTAGATGCCAAGAAAAAGGTTGGTGTCTTTTATACACAAATGACTTCACTTTCAACACTTCTCTCTTCTCTGCAGAGCTGAAGCAAAACACAGTTTTTAGAGTAACAGAACATTCACAGAGAAACCAACAGATATAAGAGAAGTCAGTCAAAGGTGTGTTTGTGTGTGCGCCTCTGTCTAGATGATGGGTGAGAACCTGCGAGGTGAAATGAGGGCCGACTTAGCAGGAGCCAAGTTGTGTCTGAGCGACAGCCGTTTCATCCAGGTCATCGCCAAGTCTCTGAGCATCAGCTGCAAGGAGGTGAGGGCGCCAGCAGCTAACACACTGACTACCACACAGCTATCATGAGTGCTAACAGCCCAGTACTTGTCATTTTAGCCAAACTGCTGACAAAGCACGCAACTCGCTGTAAAGTTCACTCCTTTTTTTTTTTTTCTCTTAAATTGCGGTTTAGTTTTTTTTTTATTTTTTAATTTAAGCCTGTGTTTTCTCCAGGAGCTGGAGGCCATTCGTGATGCCCTGACTCCTACACTGGCATGTGCTGCTGCTAAGATTGGAGACATAGAAGCCTTAGAAGCCCTAAAAGACATGGTAAGCAACACTACAGTCTCTTCCACACACGTGTGCAGTTTTTGGATTGTTTGTCAAGACAGTAATAACCCTTTCATGGTTTGTTTCAGGCAAAGTGTTGCACAGGATAATGTCCTATGGACTATCAGCCTTTATTCTCAGCCTCTATTCTCAACAATAAACAGATCCATCAACCTTCCGAGCTCCACGCGACGGATGCTGTGATACTCTAAACACAGCTTAGCACTAGAATTTTATGCCAGCACAGCGGCATTTGACCCGGCTTATCTTGATCGTGTTTGGTTTGTAGGGTCAACCATGAGGATCACTGACAAATTTCCAGGGCCAACTTCTCCATATTAGAGGGGTGTAAAAAAAACATGCAGGCTCACAGCCAAACAAAACACAAGGCCAGACTAGGAGGGCCGGCCTGGAGTCGTGCCCGTGGTCACACGCACATGTTTGTATTTGGCTTGACTGGTATGCAGTCGCTGCTTAGATTTCCATACACTTAAAAACAGATTTAAAGTTTTAGCCTCATATCCTTGCACTTAGTTAGACACTTAATGAAGCTTAGTGATTGTGTCTTGTAGGAGAAATGAGCCATATTCACACCTGCAGTCATAAGTTAATACATTTTCCCTGCTTGTAATGACCATTATCCATGTACTCCCTCAGTCTTTTGGTTTTCAGCCACATGTTTTATATACCAGTCAGTAATTACAGCAGCAGGACAGTGTAAGTGGGATGGTCTCATTGTAATAAAGGAACATGTTAGCCAGTGCAACAGTTTGGTTCGATGTGTTTTTTGGACAGTAATGGAGGTCTATGACACAGAGGCAAAAGCTCAGTCAGGCTTTGGCTTCTCAGATGATATTTAGTGGAATAAAGTCCTCTCCTTTAACCACCAGGTGAAACACACTGATGGGTTCATGTTTTCCTTTGTCAAAGGGCACTAACTTGTGTCTGGGTGACTACGATGGACGTACACCCCTACATATTGCTGCCTGTGAGGGCCACCTGAAGCTGGTGCAGTACCTGCTGGGTCATGGCGCTACAGTCTATGCTAAAGATCGCTATGGGGATACACCTTTATCCAATGCTGTACGCTTCAGGTAAACTTTGCCTTATTTGAAACAATAAGGGCTGATGTGTCTGTTTTTATCTCGTCTATTAAGGTAATAATATCATTCATGAAGCCGCAAACACGGCATTTAAAATCCCCCTTTTTCCCATTAGCAACCATTGTTATTCCTCAAAGTGATCTGAGTGTGTCTTGAAAACATGTTGTTAATAGCTGCTATAGAGGGGACTTCATTAAATGAGCTGAGGGGTAGGAAATCTGGCTCTGTTTAAATGACAGGAAAGGAGCAGCGGCTGACAGAGGGGGGTTGAAACCAGGGGAGCAACTCATAATGGAGTTTAGAGGCCAGGCAATAATTATAAACAAATTAGGCTAATTGTCATCTGACAATTTAGACAGTGTTTATTTTTACCATAGCTGATTTTTAATTTGTGTCATTCATTGACATTGCTCTAAATGTGTATCAGGGAAAAAGCTGTGTTTAATGTTTCTGTTCAAGTGCTATGTTGAGCCTCGGGGTGAAAACGTTGTATGTGTCGTGCCAAATGGCTGTTGTCCTATTTTAACGGTTGGTGCTGCAAGTGCAGACTTGTTTCCCTTGTGATGGTAGAGGGATGCACTGGAGCGCTTACACCTGTCGTTACACTTCCTACATTAAACCTCGGCTTTCTGTGCCCTTCCTGAATGTATTTAACAAAATGAGACTAAGTAATAGAACTGGAGTTTTGAGTTGCTACCTGGATGTCAGCATGTCTGACGCACTTTGAAAGTCACTGACAATTCAGTGAACTACAGCCTGATGTCCATATAAGGAGTGGCTGAGAGCAGCGAGAATGAGGGTTTAAAGAACAAATGTGGGGAGTGTCCTCTGAACCAGTCCTACCAGCCTGCTCCCAGTTTCACATATGAGAGATACTGGCTTCTTAACACTCTACAGGAAGTCTTCTGGGGCTTTTTCATAGTTTATTTGGCTGTAGCTCTACATAGTTCTTGGCAATTAAGCCTCAAATTGACTCTTTGGGTACCTTACCTCTATCACATGCCAAGCTCAGCTCTCATTTATAATCTCAGCAGCTCAATGGTGAACAATTTAAGGTCTTTTGATTTGTTGTGTATTCCTGTCTTTGCAAATGGCACTGCAGGTGACTCCTGTGAGGGTGGTTCATTGTGGGCGATAAGGAACTTGTTTTTACTTGCCAAACTGAAACCAGTGCCACATTGTACTCTGTCAATGAAAGTTGGAAAATTGAAAAGTTCAGAATCAACGGCATGAAATTAAAATGTCTGAAAACAACATTATATCTAAGTTATGCTTCTTAACAGTTCCTCATACAGATTTACCAGTTAAAATCGGCCAAAACTGAAATAATCACCGATAATCTGATAGTATTTATACATTAAATACACAGCAATAATTGTATCCCCTCATTGCGGGTCTTATCCTAACTTAGGCACATGGAAGTTGTGAAGCTGCTGAGAAAGACCGGGGCCCACTTCTCCAGAGACCAGTTGGAGGAAGCAGGAACAGAACTGTGCAGGTGAGACACACATAAAGCACATCTTCAAACAATTGCACACATATACAGTCACAAATTTTCTCAGTTGCTCAGCCACGCACAGTGACCCATCCTACATAGCTGACACAGGTACAACCAGTTGTCCCACTGTTACACAAACTGTAGGAATGCTACCTGGCAGCATAGTTTTGGATCTGCTCTGCATCTTTAGCGTCGGCAGGTGTACGACACTGGCTGGCCCCTGTTATTTATCTCCCAGAGACACTTGTGAGGGTTCGTCGAGACTGTTCCAATTAAGAGTTTCAGAAACACACCTATTGTAAGGTACAATAGGTACGGCGTACGTCACTTTCAAAATAAAACCTAAACATCAGTGAGTCAGCATTAGTGATCGCTTCCCTTGATGTCTCTTCATGCAATCTGTCCTTCACCCGGGGTCTATTTGATTGTGTTTATAATGCCGATTTTAGGAAACAGATCCCTTTCCTGTAATAACTGTCATTTCCTGTGTGTCAGCATGGCAGCCAGCGGTGACCTGGAGGGCCTGGAGATCTGGAGCCTTGCTGGAGCAGACCTGAATACATTAGGCTATGATGGACAGACAGCCATTCAAGTGGTGGGTTCTGGGGAGACATATTCCACTTTAGTAACACTTTTAAATTCATAAAAATAAAACTCCCTCTCATCCATCCTTCACCTGTCACAGGCCCAGGCTGTTGGCAAAAAAGAGGTAGTGGCTATTTTAGTCCAACTCATGAGCAGAAAGGTAAGCACTGTCTTCCAATCCAGCTGCTTTATATCTCTGTTCTTTCATAGCGACCAAACACAGCTTCAACTTAATATGCATTGTAGTGTAACGCTCAGTCTATTATTGCCTCTCAATTACATGTTTGTCTTGTTTAATTTCAGACGGTATTTGATGAAAATGATGATTTGGTAAATAAGATGTAGTGTGTGTGTAGTGTGTGTGTCTCCCAATTCGGGTATTTCCTATCCTGAGCATGAGATCCCTGTAGCATGACTGCTTTGGCTCCCCTTTTTGTCTGCGTGCATAACCTTGTGCCTATGATCCATCCATTCATTTTATAAACTGTTTATCCTGGTCAGAGTTGTGGATTTGTGAGTTGTCGTGTATCCCAGCATGCATTGCCCAAGTAGCAAGGTATACCCCTGGACGAGTCATCTTGTCCATATTGTATTTCACATAAAACACAAACAATGCACAGTAAAAACTGATTAAAAGATAGGTTCACATTTTCTTCACGTCTGTCTTAAAACAGTGCTGACATTCCCGTATGGATACTGAATGGTTTGTGCTGCAGGTGTGATGGTGTCTGTTGGTTGTAGTAATTGTTCCTTTCTCACGACTGGCTGTGAGAAGAAAAGATCCTTCTCCAGTACAATGTTGATGGAAATAATGGAGGACAAAATTCTGTCCTTGTTCTGTGTAAATGTACAGTCTAACTTGATGTGAGGCTGCAGAAATGTAAGGAATGTAAGCAGCATTCCAGGTGGGTATCTTCCAAAGCTTTTTGGTATGAAAGTACCTGCTGCAGCTCCATGCTGTGGAAGCTTCACATTAGCTTCAGCTGAAGTTAAGAAGTCAAGCATTTTGTCGCCCAGATGTTTTTATTGACATTGCTCTATGAAGGGGTTTCTTCACAAGTATGGAGAGCTGGAACAATTACAGTGAAACAAGAGCCCTTTCAAGGTGCATATTGGCATGTGAGTATTATATTAGGATAAACAAGAAAAAAATATGAACCTATTTTTCATGAGATTTCAAACGACTGAACAGAAGAAACGGAGTAAAAGGAAAAAAAAAATAAAATAAAAAAAACATTTCTAAAATGAATTGTGATTAAAACAAAGCATATGAGACAATAAAAATAAACAATGGTTTCTCATCAAATGCAGGTCAGATAAAATCTGATCACCATTAATGCCGGCTCACAAATGCCTCTGAATACTACATCTATACAGCTGGCTTTACTCTAGGCTGACCAGTATGTGCGTTTGTGTGCATGTGTGTGTATTTGTGCTTGTGCACACTGGTAGTCGAGAGTGCTGAAACACATCTCACCTCCCCAGTGCTCCATAATAATCCTGTCTGTTTTTGTCTCTGTGGCAGAGCGGAGTGATCGAGTTCACCGCCAGTCCGTCCGGATCGTGAGCTGACACTTCCTCACGCGACAGGAATCGTCCTCCATTTGTGTCTACTTCATCCGAGACCGGGTTTTACACACGGTTCACTGTCCTGTTGAATTTCACATTTACTGTTTTTACTTTTAATATCTGCACAAACACTTTTCCATGTCTTTTAAAAGCCATCACTACTTACAGTATTTCCCTCCAAACCCATAAATAGCATAACATTTTATAACCATTGCTTTTGAGTCTAGAAAGGGCAACACTAGATGTATGTATATGTGCATGTATATGTTGCATTGTTGCACAGTAATCTCTGTATAAGGAAACATATGCTGATTTTATCAAATGCTTTTATTACTATGTATGAACAACAGACTCCGTTACTGTGATGTCCAGTCAGGGAATTAAGGGTGATCTTCACCTAAGCTGTTTTAACATGGTCAATGCTGAAACCTTCCATAACTCTTGAACAGTAAAGGATGATTGGCGAAGGTTAGTTTTGAAAAAAAAATATATATATATAGCAAAAGAGTTAAGCACTCTGAGTAGTGCACATTACTTCATAAAGTAATGTTGTCTCTTTCTACAGCAATATATTCATACTACCTGGAAGTACATTCACAGATTTTATTTTTATGCTTATTTTTATAGTGAGATGGTGGAACGTGTCATGTAATGTACTAAAAGTAAAGTAAGGTTTCTGTTTTTACTATGTGGAATATTATCCAACTGAAGCACTTGTCCACTTCAGTTTGAAGTATACCCTGAAGACGAGATGTTCGTTTCCTTCTGCTCAAACAGGTACTACAAAAACCTGCAGTTACTTTACACACTCATCCAGCCTGTTTCTTGTGCTGATTGTCGAGCTGGAAGAGTGGCATATCTCACTTTGAAATGTAAAGGGGAAATCCAGTCTGAGCCAAATTGAACCTTAAAACGGCCAAAGTTTTTGTGTTTATCGTGTATTTTGTCATCTATGTTCTTTGCGTCCGTGATCACAAATAAACGACTTGTGTTTTCCTCATCTTTGTTGCGCTACGAGTAAATGATGTTAAACCGTGCTACTCTTGGTTTGATACAATTTACCCTTTAAACCAATCCAGGTTACATTTTGTCATACTTGAATGTTATCAGCTGTAAGGGAATTACATGTGACTACATGTGAAAGTGCAAATACATCTTAATCACTATCACTTGAAATGTATCCTGTCTTTTTCAGTGTTGCTATTGTCTTACTGTTGAATTAAAAAAAAAAAAAAAGTGGTAGAAGGGTGTGTGTTAAAATGATCCTGTGGTCTGTATCTGCTATGGAAAAAGCAATAATAAATCTCTTGATTCAAAGCACTGTCTCCTGTGATGGCTGCTGTGTTGCACCAAACCCTGAAACCCACATGAAACTACAGCTGCTGGCTAAAGATTCCCGAGCAATTTCAAATTTGACATGGTTTTCTATATGAATTAGTGCACGTCTACCCAATTGTTGGAGGTCATTTCTGTTAATGTGCAGAGTTCTTTTGTGTCCTCTACAGAAATGTGTTCTGAATAACAATTTGATTCATTGTTAGTGCACCAGGCCTTCAGGAGAAATACACAAACCCAAACTGCAGCTTGTCTAACACCATTCTGTGTGTATTATCTGATTGAGATAAATTAGAGTTTAAACCAGAAATCAGACAAAAGTAGAGATAAAGATGACAAAATTCCTTATGTCCATGTGACTTCTCAGCCTGCACTGGCTGGTATTTGCTATCTCTGTCTTGAGGGCGGCTGCCCCTTCCTGCTCCTTGCTGGTGGAACCCAGCTCATCCGGTTGGACCAGCATGGGTTTCATTCCTGCCTGAATGAGAGGCTTGTATGAACCTAGCCCAAAAACACTATATAAGAGCTGTAACACTGCAGTCACTCAGTCTGAGCAAGGATGACACCAAGGAAACACCATCGCAAGGAATGAAGTCAGCTTCTCCAGGTGAGCAGTCGGACGCAGAGCTCTGTGGCTGAAGCCTCTGCTTGTTATTCTGGATTTATTCTGTAGCGAGTAGGGTTTTCAACCTGTTGTAGTGATTGTCTACTTGTGTCATAACTAACAGATGATCTCAGAATCTAATTCTAGCCTCTGTTTTTCTTTAGTTAATGGAGTCAACAGTTCAAGGGACGGACTTCAACCTGAAGAATTGCGTAGTCTCTCTGATTAAGTGGTTCTCAACAGTTCAACAGTTCTTTGAGAAAATTGTGAAATGTTTAGGACCACTTGACCAGTCAGACGATTGCTGCCAACTTTGGAAAAAGCTGCGTTTTTAAATGGATCTGTAAAAATGGCAAACATCTGAGAAGGCCTGACTTTTGATGATTTTACAACAATTGTGTGATTCCATCTGCTCTGCTACTTCCTTAATGTCTCTCTCTGTCTCCTTCTCTCATTGTGCCCCCTTGTGTTACAATGACAACTGCAGTCCGGGAACTGTGGGGGGTTGTAAAAATCATCAGGCTTCAGTTATTTCATTCTGCTGGCACACATACAAAATTTTTAATAGCCCTGCTGAGGCAGTAATGCTGTCTTTTTCACTGTTTCCCTGTTGCTACTATTCAGAGGTACTGATTAAAACAAGTCAATAAAGAATCATTTGTCTCTGTTGAGTCTGTTTGGGCTGATGGAGTCTGCAGGGATGGTTGCTCTCCAAAGTCCTGAAACTTGCTGCTAAGGTAAATATCTCAAAATCACTGCATCTAATGTCATTTTACATCCAAACCAGAGAAGAGTGATGACTATTTTTTGGTATATGTAGATAAATAATTAGATATGGGTCACCTACTTCTGCTTTCAACTTGATTTATGACAAATGTTTTGTTCTCTTATTCGCTATTACATTGATTAAAGCACTTCCAGCAACTTTAAACGCCTTAATTAAATTCTAAACACACGTTTACATACAGGACTAGTTTGATGTGGATTCCCTGACCTAAAGACTCACAATCTGACACAACTCTGGCAAGAAAATCCAGATGCCTTTTTCCCAAGGAATAGGCTACTTTATATTGCATAAATCATTCATGAAAGCACTGTGCACCGATTATTCCCCCTCTCCTTTTTAGACAGCCCCCTTCTCCATTTTCCCCTCTTTGATCTCCTCCATGCGCCAAGAACTATCAATATTTGCTAAACGTTTCTCACAAAGCCTGTCCGTGCACCGGGAGAAGCTGCAGAGGTCTCACAGGCAGGGGATAAGACATAGGAGAAGCATTAATGAGATGCCCAGAGCGATTTCCCTGTACGTGCGCAAGGGCAGCAGATGTAGCAGCACACGCGCTCCCAGGGGGGATCCCGTCCTCCGAATTTCATCAGCGGCGGAGGGGAGACCCATCACCCAGACCTCCTCCAGTGGGGAGAGCTGGGTGACGGACGTGGTAAATCATCATTACTATGGATTGTAATTATCGGTGTAGCTAGTGACAACCCTTGCATCCACCCCACCGCAAGATAGTGTCTGTGTCTATTCCTGTGCGTGTGAGTGAGATCGGAGGAGGTGATGAGTCGCGTGGTTTGCGAGGTGTTTGTGGGATCAAAAATAATTTATTCATGCCTAGAATATTTATTATTTACCCCCCTCTGCTCAGCTGTCAACGCATCATTGTTGCCTGAGAGTCCAAACCTTGGTTTTTAAAAAAAGAATTTCTCAGACCTCCTGAAAAAAATAAAACCTGCCCGGGGGCACCCAAAACTTTTCTGTCCGTCCCACGTGAAAGTTTAGAAACACCATCTAATCAGATACATTACATAATCAACTGAGCATGAATCTAAATTCAAATAAAATTGTTTTGGCAGCCATCTGTCAGGAATCAGCTGTCTGAACCAGCAGTGTCCGCCCTGAACATAATCTCCTTGCAGCTATCCCATTGTTTGTTCAGTTAAAGGGTCAATCCCCCAATTTTACACATTGATCATCTTACTCTAATGATCTCATAGTGATGCCATCAACGTTATCTCAGCTTGGATTTAGAAACTGTACATTTTTAACAGAAAACCTGTGTTACAAACTGGCAGTGAGTTTGAAAGATGTAGTTATTCATGAGGCAGGGACGGGCTAATGAAGCATTCTGTCCTCTTGCATCATGGGAAATGTAGGATCCAGTGTTTTTGGAGCTTAAGCCATACCAGGGACTAAACCATCAGGATATTTCAGCCTCTGCTGCTTTGATTTTGACCATTATTTCCAAGTCTGCTTTCTCTTGGGAGTCCTCCAACTTTTAAAGGAGTGCAACACTAAATCCCAGGAATATCCTTTTAATCCAAAACCACTGAACTAGACTCTGATGCATGCACTTTGTGTTTCAGCTGTCACATTAAAATTGGATTCATTTCCAGCTGTGAAACATGAGAACTTGCCCATATCTCAGTAAAATCACAACGGGTGCCATCATACTGTCCCACTGTTCACAGTCTGTGGAGTGGCTCCATGTGGATGACATCATCACTGCAGTCTGTCTCTCTGCTGTTCGGCTCCAGCAGAAACAGGTTCAAATTCATAAATTAAAACTGAGTTGACAAACTGCTCTGTCGATTCTGTTTTACACTAATATTTCCCGTTGAAACAGAGTCTCGGAAGGATTCATATTTTCCTCTAATACTGCTTAGTCAGCCTAATTATATCAACCTCATGATTTCCCTGAACCACATGCACCTCGTGCTCTCAGCCATTCAATCTATGTGATAATTAGCCTCGGACTGCTAGAAATAGTGAAGGCTATATTCGTTGAATGGCCTTTAGGACTCATGAGATCTTACTGAATTTTAGACAGGAGTTACATTATTTAGCATTACACAACAGTTAGTTCCGACTAAGTAATTTGATTGGACGAGAGGCATTTCATGAGTGCTGATGTAGAGTACAACAACACTGGGACTTTTTACTACATGTTTCACTCCGCTTCACAGGTGTTCTACTAACCGTTAATTAGCGTTACATTAGCGGTCTAATTATCTAGCTTAGATTGTAACAAACTTTGCAAAGATGAATATATTTCCAGAAATAACATTTGAATTAAATTATGTATGGTCGTCAGAGGAGGATGAAGGGAAGAAGCCTGGATACTTCAGCGCATTCCTGAGGTAACATGTAGACAAAGTAGAAAGATAGTGAGCACTGTGCAGGTCAGGAAATGTTTTTGTGTTATTTAGCAACAGTCCAGTACCAGTCCAAATGCCGTTCTGGGCCTATTTGTGTTAGCGTAGCCAAATAAACGATGAAATAAACAAACAAACAAAAAAGATAGCCCTGTGGCCTACCTATGACCGAATCACAGCCGTGCTGATATTCAGCAGCTTACAACATCTCTCCTGTGATATTATGTAGAGCTACAGACACCTCGAATGATCAAGTTGCTCCTAAATCACACGAGGGTGTTATTCAGTGTTAGCAGATTATTTCAAAACAAATTTTGTTTGATTTGATTTTGATATAACCTGCAGATAAGTATAGCCCATTGAAATCAATCAAAATCAAATCAGTTTTAATT